AGCACAAGGCTCTGAGTTCAAATCCTAGTACTGCCAAAGAATAAAACAAACAAACAAACAAAAAAACCTCACCTGACTTATGGAATCTGATATCTTTTCTTTTCTTTTTTTTTTTTTTGAAATAGTGTCTTTCTCTTGCCTAGGCTAGTCTCAAACTCATGGCCCTCCTGCCTTAGCCTCCTGAATAGCTGGGATTACAGGTATGAGTCACCACACTTGGCTTGATCTCAATTCTTTTGTTGTTGCAGTGCTGGGGACCAAACCCAGGGTCTTGCACCTGCTGGGCAAGCACTCTACTATGAAATAAATCCACAATCCCTATCTCAATTTTACTAGAGTCTGGAGACAAAAAAGGTGTAAATAGCACATTGAAAAGCCTCAACATGAATGACAGTAACCCCAGTCCTATTTCTGGGTCCTAGAAGAGGAGCAAGGTAGGGTAAAAGAGAAGAGGAACTGAAGGAAGAAAAGGCTTCTTCCACTTTTCCTAAGTAGACATTTTTCTTGGGCAAAATGTCTGAATAAGTTGAATCTATCTTTATATCCTATAATCCTTGCTTATTTTTGTTTCTTTTTTTTATATGGTACTGGAGATTGAATTCAGAACCTCATACTCTACCACCCTCCATCCCAGACCCCAGTCATTTTTTTTGTTTTAGTTTGCTTTTCAGGAGAATCTTGTGCTTTTGCCCCTGACCAGCCTCAGATAGGCATCCTTCTACCTGCACCTCCTGAGTAGCTGGGATTACAGACATGACTACCACACCTGCCCTTCATTCTTGCTTTTGTTTTTTTTTTGCATCTTCCACATTTCTCATGCTGTCTAAAGATCTCCATTTTCAACACCCACAGTTTGAGAAACACAGTAAGTGTTGCCCAAATCTCTGAATTATTCCCTGATCCCATATTTGTCTCTCCTATCCCTCCTCAAGCTGAAGCTTCCATTTCCTCAGTGTAGCTGATCAGGAGGAAAGTAATCTGATTAAACCAATTCACACTAAAATAGTACAGCTGATAGTCTAGCTGTTTCGAAACATGCACATGCATGTATAGAGAGATCTGTATTTTTTATTTCTGTGCACCTTTAGGCTAAATAAATCTCACTGCAGTAATTTCAGACAGAAGATGAGGAATAAACAAAGGTCAGCTCTGATGATCATTTCCCAGGGATCGTGTCCCCAAAAGTGTTCCCAGTTTGTACTGCCCCCCACTTTCAGTCCTTCTCAGCAAGTGGTACTAAAAACTCCAGGGGGTAGAGAAGAAGAGCTCAGGAAGGAATCTGTAGCTACCAGACACACATACATCCATTGAGTTCATCAGTAACAATCCATAGGAGGTTGAATAGTTTATACTTTCAGCATGTTTGATAATAACCTCTTTAAAATAAAACAAAAAACACACTCCATTACACCTTGAGGTTGTCAGCTTCTTGAGAGGCCTGGCACCCCAGGGCAGGGTGGCTAATAGGGAACAAGGGAAGTGCCATATGCTATTTGGCTTTCTTCTGGGATTTTATAACCATCCTTTTAAACTTTATAAATCATGAATGCTTCTCCATGTTGAGAAAGGTTGCTAATATTGTGATTTTTAATAGTATAAATAAAATTCTGTTGAATGGCTACAGAAGAAAGGAAGGAAGGGAAATTGTCAGCTTTCTTCTAATAAAGGCAGTGAGGTATGAAAGGGTTAAATAAGATTTCCCTTGTTTTATCATTTATAAGCTGAAGAGCAGAATTAGGTTCCACCTCACATATTTTTAATCACTTGCATATCCATTATTTCCATTTGAAAGTCTTTTTGGGGGGGATAAGACTAGGGTTTAAACTCAGGGCTTCTCACTTGCTAAGCAGGCAGTCTACCAATTGAGCCAGGCCTCCATTCCATTTTGCTCTGGTTATTTTGGAGATGGGGTTCTCACAAACTATTTGCCCAGGCTGGCCATGATCTTATCTCAGCCTCCGAAGTAGCTAGGATTACAGGTGTTAGCCCCAGCATCTGACTCCATTTAAAATCTTTAATTTTATTTTCTATAAAGTTTCTGACATTTGGCAGAAAACTTTTAAACAGTGACAAAGGTTCAGACAGGCTCCTGAACCATCTCCTCAGTCTTTTGTGGCAGAGACCCTGCTGAGCCAATTTAGCCAGACTCCTCTGACTGTGGAATCAGGCTCTTGACCCCCACAGTCCCTCAGATGATGTCTGATGACCTTGGCCTGTCTTCAGCAGGAATCCTCCATCAGTTCTGGTGTTTCTTCTTAGTACCTTTCTATCCACTGACCCCACCCTGCTCCTTGACTATAAATTCCAGTTTTTCCTGGCCATATCCAGAGTTGAATCCAGTCTCTTTCCCCCAATACCAAATCTGATTGCCCCTATATACACTGCAATGGTCCTGAATAAAATCTTCCTTGCCATACTTTAACAAATACTACTGAAACTTTTCCTCTTTTTCTTTTTTGGCGATACTGGGGTGTGAACTCAGGGCCTTGCAGTTGCTAGGCAGATGCTTCACCATTTGAGCCACTTTGCCAACACTTTTTTTTTTTTTTTTTTGAGACAGGGTCTGGCTGTATAGCCTGGGCTGACCTCAAGTTCCCTATCCTCCTGCCTTAGCCTCCTGAGCGCTGAGATTACACACATGCATCATCACGCCCAGCTTCGATTTTTTTTTTCTTAACCACAGACATATTAAATCAGAGAGAACAAGACCTTGAATTCCAGGGAGGAAATGTCCTCTCTTCAGGTAATTTTTGCTCTGAAAAACCTCATGCTGGATCTGTGTGCACTCAGAAATTAACAATGTGTAAATGGCTGTTAACCTCAGTGCCATCAAAAACGTTTACCACCCACATACGAACACAACTGTAATAAAAACTACACAAATGTAGGAAAATAAGACCTTCTACTGTGCTGAGAAGTGACTCATGAAACTTTAATTGAGCAATTTGTGCTTGCCATTTATTATTAGTTCATTTAGCTAGCCACCAATACAAATTATTTGTAACTGAAGTGTTAAGTGGGACTTTTCATTCTAAGCACAGAATATACAAAAATGATTATTATGAGTGGGCTCTCTCAGAGAGAGAGTCACACCATACCTTTGTGACTTTTCTCAAGATGCCAGAAAATAGAAAGGGACAATAAAATGTCCAAGAATTATCAGCCAGGGTATTTCAAAAGACTTAAATGACACTTACTCAACTTGTACCCAAGTTCCTGTATTAGCATTACATTTTTGGTATCATACTTGTTAGCTTTTTTAAGTCAGTGCCAGTCCTCCAACCAGAATTTTCTTCTATACAGAAACAATACAACACAACAGTAAAAAAATCAAATAACCCAACCAGATGTGGTGTGTACTCCTTAAATCCCAGTACTGGAGAGGCTGAGGCAAGAGGATAGACAGTTCAAGGCCAGCCTAGCTACATAGTGAGTTTCTGTCTCAAAATAAAAAAAAAAATAAAGGCAAATAACCCAATGAAAGAGCAGTAATTCAAAAAAATGTACAAATGGCCAATATGTACATGAAAAGGCACTCAATATCTCTTGTCATTACAGAAATGAAAATCAAAACTGCAAAGAGCCGAGCGCCCAGTGGTTCACACCTGCAATCCTAGCTAGTAGGAGGCGGAGATTAGGAGGATCAAGGTTCAAAGACAGCCTGGACAAACAGTTCACAAGACCCTAACTCAAAACCCCATCACAAAAAAAGGCTGATGGGTTGGCTGAAGTGATAAGAGCACCTGCCTAGCAAGCGTGAGGGTCTGAGTTCAAACCCCAGTGCCACCCAAAAAAATTTAAAAAAAACAACCTACAAAGAGATAACAGTTACTCCGACTTTGATGACTATGTAACAGAAAATAACAATTACTGGTGGGAGTAAAGGAAACTGAAATCCTCATTCACTGTTTGGTGAGATGTAAACTGGTACAGGAGTCTTGGTTAACCCTGGAATTTTTTCCAAAAAGTTGAACCCGGACCAATTCCACTTCTACATACATGTCCAAGAGCACTGAAAACATATGTCCACAAATGTTCATAGCAGCATTGTATTCAATAACTACAAGGCAAAAAACAACCCAAATGTCCATTCACTGGTGAAAGGATGAACAAATAGCGGGACTGTAAAGCACTGAGTATCCTTCAGTTATAGGAAAATGAGGTACCAATGCACACATGCGCCATGGCTGGAACTTGACATTATGCTATGTGAAAGAAGCCAAACACAAAAATTCCACTTACATGAAACCTCCACATCAGGCAAACCCACAGAACCAGAAGGCAGTGGTTGACCCCGCCGGGACGGGGGTCAAGGCTAAATGAGTAGGGTCCGGAGCTTCTTTGGGGAGATGGATGATGACAAAGGTTCTGGGGAGCATTGACAGTTAAGAAACTTTGTGAGTAAAGTAAAAGCCACACTCTGAAGGGACGAGTCGTATGGTGTGTGATGCACATTTCAATAAAAATCCTTACAAAAGATGCCGGGTGTGTAACGTACATAAAAATGCAGTACCTAAGTCCAAGTACGTAAAGGTGTCGTCTCTGACCATAAACAAGCACTGGGGCTTTTTTATATTGAGACACACCGCTCATGCATAAAGCCAAGGATGGCAGGACACGGTGATAGGGTTGTCCCTGCATCCGAGCTCACCTGGCCCGCTCGCAGGGCCCGGCCGCCGCCCGCGGGCTGACCCAGGATCGAGGCCCGGGGCGGCCGGTCCGCGGCGGCAGCGGGCGTTGAATCCCGGCGTCCCGACCCGGCCCAGCTGGAGGGACACGACCGTCCCAGTCACCCCGCGCCCCGGCCCCTCTTCCCTGCCATACCTGGGATGCGCCGGAAGCCCGAGGCGCGGCCGAAGCCGAAGCCAAGACCGTCGCTCCAGGACCACCTGCCCCGGGGCGCGGCGGCAACGGCGGAGGCCGTCGGGGTGCGGGCAGGGGACCGAGGCGCCGAGAGTGCTGGGGTAGAGGAGGGATGGAGGGATGGCAGGGGCACTCACCTAGTCCCGGGCCCCGGCGGCGGGACTGGCGGCGGCTCCGGCCCTCGGCTCCTTCCTGCTCGCGCGCCTTCTCGCGCCGCAGCCACCGCCGCGCGCTGACAGCCGGCCGGCGCCCCTCGCCGCTCGTGCCCGCGCCGGCCCCGCCCCGCCCGCGCACGCGCACGCGCCCCACCGCCCCGGGGCGAGAGCGAGCGGGCGAGCGCGCGCTGCTGATGTGGCCGACCCCGCGGCGACCCGAAGCGCCAGGCCGCCCTCCTGGGCCGGCGGCCGCACCCCGGCTAACCCCGCCCGCCGGGGACCCGGAAACCCGAGGCGGCCGGGGGATGAGCATCCCCCGGGGGATGTCGCCAGATGCAGCACCCCGAGGCCCTCAACGGTCTCCCTGCTCAGACCCACGGCCTCTTCGGGGGCTGGAATTAAAGCCCAGAGGCGTGGACTCTGCCCATGCTTTTCCACCAGGCAGCGCGGATCCGCAGCGCGGATCGTGGGCTGTGCACCCGGCCGAGGTCCGATAGAAAGAGAGAGAGAGAGAGAGAGAGAGAGAGAGAGAAGAGGGTGAGATGTAGGGCAGCCCTTAGCCACCCCAGTGCCAGGGAGGAGGTGGCTGCCGTGCCAAGCCTTGCAAGTCTGCCCACACTTGCTTTTTAAATCTAGGTAAAAGTGATTCAGATTGTGCACTGTAGAACCGAGGGCTCAGTTAATGACTGTTAATTGAGCACTTACTATGTGTGATTCGCGACTGGCACTGACACCTATATGTGATTCATAATGGGATACGTATGCCCCCGAGATACTACTTTATTTTATAAAGGTGTCAGTCCTCTGGCACTATTTTGAGGGGAAGACCCTCTTTTTAAAAATTACACAACTGGGTGGGGCTTGGTGATGCAACACTATAATCCCAGCATTAGGGAAGCCGAGGAAGGAGGACAAGTTCCATGTCAGCCAGCCAGAGCTACGAGCAAGACCCTATCTTAAAAAATAATAATAATATACCACTGACTACACTCTTTACCTGAAATCAAAGCTTCCAGCAATTCTAAATTACACCAGTGGTTTAGTAGTGAAGGGGAGGGAGAGTATGTGTTTATCCAACTTTTTTCCTTCTGTTTACAAACTTTGCACTTTAACCTTCACCTTCAGGGTGATGGGAGCTTCTGTATCATTCTTGACCATCTGCAGTAATGATCTGGGGGGAATTTTGTTTGCAGTACTGGGGCTTGAACTCAGGGACTTGTGCTTGCTAAGCAAGCATTCTACCTCTTGAACCACAACCCCAGCTCCTGCAGTGATGTTTTTTATAATAGTCCACTCCGCTGTTTTTTGCTTTGTGTGTGTATGTGTGTGTGTGTCTGTGGTGCTGGATGTTGAACTCAGAGCCTCATTCTACCACTCAAGCCACACACCCAGCCTTTTGTTTTTAGGTTATTTTTCAGATAGGGTTTCAGCTTCCTTCCTCCTTCCCCTCCACCCCATGCTCACACACACAATGTACTGGCTCCCCCACAGCAGTCCTTCTACCTTGGCCTCCTGAGTAGCTGGGACCACAAGTTTGCACCACTTCATCAGGGTTGTTTTGTTGCTGCTGTTTGTTTTGTTTTGGGTATTTGGGGCTTTTTTTTTTTTTTGGTGGTTCTATAGTTTGAACTCAAAGCCTCATGCTTGATAGGCAGGCACTCTACCACTTGAGCCATGGCCCCATCCCCACAGGCTTGTTTGTGAGGCAGTCTTGAGCAGTTAGTTGCCAGAACAGTGCTAGAACTATGACCTTTTCTCTGCCTCCCGAATAGGTGGGATTACAAGCGTGCCCCCACTATACCCAGCCACTGTTGTTTTTAAGAATACCTTTTAAAAGATTTTAAAACACCTTTAGGAATGAAAATGTAATTGCAAAGAATAAAATAAAATTGTAGACCATTGTTTTAGACCATGCTCCTTCACTAGGCCACAACAGCAGGCTAAAAATCAAAATGTAATGAATGACTATTAAGTTCCATGTCACGAAGCTAAAACTAAACTATTTACCTTTCCAGAAACAAGTCTGTTTCAATTGGCAGGATAAGGAAGTAGCCTCTGCTTCAATCCTTACACAAAACAGGTAACCATCCTGTTATCCTGCCTGAAGTAACCATCCGTTATTCGTCTACTGTTCCACCCCATCCCTATCTTACAAGGAAAGTAACTTTATGCGACCTATCTGCTTTTTGATTCTTGTTTCTGCTTTCTTCAGCCCTTTTGTGTCTATAAGAGAAAGCTTCTCTGCTGGGCTCATTGAAACCCTCATTCTATTTTGCAGAATGAAATATTCCCCGAGTCTATTATCAAAAACTCAAGCCAATTAAAATTGTTAAGCCAAAGTGTAATTTTGTTCTTTGACATGGGAAAGCAGTGCTTTCACTGAATTTCCCACTGGTCTTTGTTTTTATTTTTTGAACTACACATAACTATAAAGTAATTAGCTACTCTCAAAAGTGTGCCAGAAACACCAACCCCTAGGTATCCCTTCCTGTCAAGACACACAAAGCATACACAGGGAAGCCAGCCTCACTCAGTTCTGAAATTCTATCAGCATTTTTCCTGACAGAGGTGATGGTTTCAACTGTCCTTCATTTCAATTACCTGCATATAACAGGCAACTTTTCACTTACGTTCTTCATATTCTATGTGACACAGTATGATACATACTTTTAGATATGTTGAGCTTCAAGTTGGAACTCCAATGTAAATTAAATTTCAGCCCTGAGAATAACTCAAGTTGGAATCAGGTGAAGAAATACCCCCTGCTGAACAGCTGAGTCCTGATGTGTGTAGGCAATATGGGTCTGATTTCTACTTCACCTTCTGCCTGACAGTTGGTGACATCAGCTGTGAAGCAAGTGACTGAGAATTGAGGCTCTGTACTAATCACTGTTGTGGCTGCTAGCAAAATGCCTGGGAATGATGAAAGTGTGTAACAAAGGGACCTGTGTGCTCTAGGATAATAAAGATCTTCTTGAGGGAGTGACATTTAATCTGAGCCTTGATGAACAAGGAGTTGTACGGCAACAAGAGAAGGGAGTGCACGTAGCTGTGGAAGCTTCAGTTCCAAGGCCTTTGTGTAGGAATGGGCTCCGCCTGTCAAGGACTTGGATAAGGGCCACTGTGGTTAGTGAAATGGCTGGCTGTGATAGAGATGGGGGACAGGACCCTTGAGGGTCACACAGAGGACTTTGGGCTTAATCCTAAAGACAAGAGGAAGCCACTGAAAAGTTGGAGAGGGACTATCTGGACATAATTGTTGTTGTACTTGTAGAAGATTATTCTGGCTTCAGTGTGGAGGGTGAATAAGACAGGAGCAATAAGAGTGTATGAAGGTCATTTTGCAGGCAAGATTATGGACTGAAGAAACAGATCAGGGTTAGAATTATAAAGACTTGACGCCATGTGTGAATTGTAAAGGAGAAAAAAGTGTAAAAAACCACTCCTGAGTTTCTAGTTTGAGTTTACACCATTCCCTGAGGTGGGGAATAAGAAGGATGTCAAGTAAAATAATGACTGTTTTAAAGGAAATAAGAAAATCATTGTTCTGACTCCAATATGAATGGCGATGGCCCTGGGAACGCAGATTCAAGTTGCTCTGAGTGACATGTTTCATGCTGGGAGAGGGTACATGAACTTTTATGGTCATAGAACAAAAGAAACTCATAAATCAATACATTAAGAACATTACCAGTTATGTTGGTGGGAACAAAAGGTTGGCAGACCACAGAAAAACAGGAAAATTTCTTTCAGGTATTTCCTTATAGCATTCTTGGCTTTAGGTCTGGTGGAGGCTAGAGCTCTGTTAAACTTAGAGATACACCCTGAGACATTGATCTGTGAATCAGGAGAATGTGAGGTCAGATATAAAAGTTAAATTAGTTGGCTATAAAACAGTGTAAAATATCTCAACAAACTACAACACTCCATTTCTCCACAAGGTCAAGCAATCTTGCAGGATCTTTAATAATATATATATATATATATACACACACCTTATTCAGAGAACTTTGGCTCACAAAGAGGAGGTCAAAAGAGGACAATTTGGAGTGGCTTTAAATATGCTGAGTTTCATATCATCCATGTGAAGATGTTTTCATATATTTTAAAAATGGATCTGGAACTGAAAGTACAGATTTGAACTGAGATTGTGTGTGTGTGTGTGTGTGTGTGTGTGTGTGTGTGTGTGTGTGTATGAGTGGTGGCTTGGATATAACTCAGGGCCTCATGATGCTAGGCAAATGCTCTACCACTGGCCTATGCCCCCAACCCAGAAATTTGGACTGAGATGATTAACCTCTTTGACTAGATTTTAAGAGAGTAAGTAAGTAATAGGACTTGTTTGTAAGGATAGAACCTTTCAACTTCAAGGGAAGCTTGAGCAGAAGCAAAGCAAATGTAATATTTGCTGTGTGAGACACTGCACAGAGATTATTCTTTTTCATCCCTACTTCCTTTGATGATGGTATTATAATTCCTTTTTTCATTTGAGGAAACTAAGAGTTAAATCCTTGTTCAAAGTTAGTCAAATTCCAGTTAGGTATGGTGTCTCATGCCTGTAATCTCAGCACTCGGGAGGCTGAGGCAGGAAAATTATAAATTCAAGGCCAGTTTGGGCTATATACTAAGATACTGTCTCAAAAAAAAAGGAGAAAGAAGTCAAAATTCCCAAGCCTCATCTTAGACCAAATGAAAAGGATCTTTGTAGACACTTTTGATATTCACTGAGACTGAAGAACCTGCAGCAGACTCCCACGAACCACGTAGAATGCGGCCCCTCCAAAGAAAACGCATTCGAGAAAGCTATCATGCAGAGGAAATGCAACCCATGGAGCACATGCTCTAAACACACATTCTAGCTTCTGCCCCTCAGCCTATTATCAGCGCCCTTTCTGGAAACCTCTAGAATATTCATTGATGTGTTCATGCATAAAGTAGCTACTATGGTATTTGTGTGTGCCAAATGTGTGTCACTCATTCATTTACAAATTTTATTGAGCACTTAATTAAATGCCATTCCCCATCCAATGCTCGGGAATAC